AAGACTATTGTGTCTGACGTAGCATCCAATGAGGAACCGCAGCATGCCGTCTAGGGTGATTCTATCGGTATGCAGGCCAGCACACCATGTGAGCTGTAAATCGATGCGGGAACGCATCCCTATTCGCCTGCCCGGTTTGAAATGCCCAGGCAAGCGGTGAACGTTCATGCTGTCGCAAGACCCAAGGTCTATTCTTATGATTGTATCCTGGACTTCCCCCTCGTTTGCGTATTTTTTGTTCCTCTTTCCCTTTTCTTATTGCCTTCTTGGGGGAAAGAAGGTTTCTGCAATGCTTCTCTCATCTCTGGCTTTGCCATGTTGCAATGGTCAGCATGTGAAATTCAAGGTTAGACATGTCTCGTATCAGCCGTGAAGACGTCAGCATCATCATCATGTCATCTCTATTACTTCTGGAGGCGATTAAGTTATGGCTACAGGTGGTGATGTTTAGGGGGCGCCGCGCGCCCCCCCTCCCCCCTTCTTCCCCCTCCACAGGACGTCCTGCCTGTGCGATGTCCCAAGGTTCAGCGGGCGAATCACTGCGCGGCCCCAAGACAACTGTCTGCAATGCCGCTGTGTCTGTAATCAAATGCCTTTAGCAACCCGGTCAGATGAGCAATGGCGGCGCAGACCACCAGCACATGAAAGATCTGGTGGGAGCTGCCCCAGAGATCGAAGTGGCCTGGTCGCAAGCGCTCCGGCACCCGGGCCGCATAGATGGTTGCTCCCAAAATGTACAGAAAACCTTGGAGAAGTAGCCAACCGAGCCCGATTTGGCGTGTCATCTGCTCCAGACCGTACAAGCGTAAGCCGTGGATCACGGGGAACACCGCTGACAGACCCATGCCGACAAACATGGCCGCACGGAATGGCCGCCACCGAGGCGTCCGGAAATGAGGGAAGATCGAAACAAGGATGCAGCCAAGACCGAGGGCGCAGATCATCGTCCAATACAACCGTTGCAGATCAGGCATACAGTAGAATCCAAAGTACACGCTAGGCACGAAGCTGCCCACGATAAGCCCTACGATACCAACATAGTCAAACGTGTTTCCGATGCGGGCCACGAGGGGGGAATGGTTCGAAATGGTATGATATGTTGCAGACATGCCCAAACAGAAGGCCGCACCCGCGAAGAAGCATCCAAAAGCAATCAGATCCGCCTGGGTGGCATTTTCATATCGCGGAGCTAGTGCCCGATAGAGAAGCCCAGCCGCTGGAACGGCCAGTAGGGACGGCAGCAGATGCGTGTAGATGTTGACCGTTTCATTGTGAAGGTAGGTCAAGGACTGCAAGGAGACCAGAAGAGAGAATGAAGCCGGCCGATAGCCCGTGTGGATGTGCTGGTTGTCGCGCTGCCAATGGGGCAGATCATCCCAGTGAAGAAGCTTTCTGATGACTTGGGAAGGCTGTTCTAACACCGCAGCTGCCACCACAGCAGGCTGGCTGGTACCCAGATCCTTCTCATGGGCTTGAGTGGGGCGACGCTGGCGAGTGGACATATTCCTCACATGCAGGATGCAGACAGAATGACAGATCCCAGATCTCCGGTGAGCAGATGGCTAGCGGTTGCTCCGTAATCGGGGGTGGTCCTCGGGGGGAGTATACGCGTGAGAATGAGGTAAGATGACCGTCTAGTAAGAGCAAAAAAAGAAATATGTACACGGAAAAGCAGATTAAAGGGTCAAGAAGAAGCAAAACAACCCCCCTAAAACACCTCAACCCGAAGTGATGGGTGAGGAACCTGAAGAATAGCGTTGGGGATTCCGCGGAGTATCGCCGTTCCCTTTTTGGGACTTTTGGCTCGTTGGGAAAACTGACAAACAGTGCAAATAAGACAAACAGCCCGGCACTTCCCCGACGGGATCCCCGCAGATCAATTCACCAGTCCATCACTTTGGATAGCTTCATCCTCCAATTCGAGCATGACGCAATATCAATAACCCCCCTCTCTGTTTTTTTCTTTTGCGACCCACTATATATTCACTATGTCTGGTCATGCGCAGCCCGGAAAAGCCCCAGGCGGTCGGTTAAAGCCCGTGGCAGACTCGCTCGACACCGTGGGGTTTGTATCTAAAGGCGATCGAAAGTATGCTCACGGCCTCCTGATACCCATGGTGGAGCGACGATGCGGTTAACTGCGGCAGCGCTGACGCTCACAGATTGCTAGACCATAAGGTTCAGAAGGAGTACTATGACAAGATTGTAAATCGGTACATGGAATTCTGCGCCCGCCATTCCAAAAACCTAGAAGCGGCATGGACGTCACTTCCCAGGAGCGCTTCGAGCGATGCCACCAGCAATCCACCAGCTTCTCTTCCTTCCTTGGACAATAAGTCGACAGGGCCCCGTAGTCCTTCCCCCTCCACTGAACTATCCACCATTCTCCTCTCTCTTCGCAAGCTGCGCGAGGCGGTTCTGGCTACCAGCTCCACAATTCCCATCTCTTTCTCCCAGCAAGTCCACATCTTTTCCATCAAGTTCGCGATTCAAGCCCGACATCCTCCATCATACTTTCCTTCCTTTCGCTACATCCTAGAGGAATTACACACTTCTTCTCACCCCTTGCCGGACTCTGACTTGAAAGATCTCATTTCGTATTGGATCCTGGATTACGCATGTCGACAGGAGGACATGGTTGCTGCTTATCAGCTTCGTGCGCGTGCGCGCAGACGATACGGTTTTCAGTCATCGACTATAGACCGTGTCTTGAACGCCCTGGCACATGATAACTGGATTGTGTTCTGGCAGATCCGGCAAGGTGTAGATTCCCGGATGCGCGCCGTCATGAATTGGGCTGAAGACCGCGTCAGACGACATGCTCTCAAAGCAGTCGGCAAAGCTTATCTCAGCACTGACTCCAGATGGGTCACTGAAGGTTGCACCGGTGACAGCAATTGGACATGGGAGAACCTGGTAAAGGCGGAGAGCCTAGGTTGGGAGAAAGAGGGCGACAGAATTATCATCCGGAAGCCAAAGCAAAGGCCCCAAAATAACCTTGCACCTATAAAAGAGAATCCATGATGTTGTCGATTTGATGTTGTCATTGCTGCATCGTTATCTGGCGCTTATACGGGCATTGACGGAGTATGGCGTTTGTTTCAGGTGTTTAGACGGCTATATAGTTGGAGGATCCGACAGGCATTCTTAGAACAGCGCACCAGTCTTAGAACCGGGGACCTCCTTGCCATCAAGTGTAGACTTTCCGTGATTCATGCTGTCATTAAAGTTTGAAGTCCCCGTTGGGCCGATCAAGATTAGTAGTCCCAGTGACTGGTTGTCTGGCCACTGTTTCTACGAGGTCGGTTTTTAGCTTGGCGGATTTATCAGAGCATAGTTCATAGACGGTTGACAGGTTGAACACGAGGCTAGAGAACGAATGGTTTGCGTGCACCAGTGACTCAAGGACCTCACGTGCCTGTGGCATGGTTAAGCACGGGCTTGGTAGTAGGTAATCTTTGTGGAATATGACTTACTTCGTTCAACCTACCAGTGTACAACAAGGACACCGCCAGGTTCTGCGACATCATGGACTCATCGGGTCTGCGTTCCTCGTTGCCAAGTAAGGCGCGCCATTCAGTCACTGCGTCGTCGTACCGACCCTCGGCCATACTGAGGAGCGGGCGAAACACGGTGTTCCCGGCATCGCTCGCCTCGCCAGATACCTGCCTCGCAGTATCAAGATCGCCAATTATGAGCATCAAAAGTACTTTTCTCAGTTTATTGATCTCGCTTTCCGATTCCGCTATACGCAAGCTAGCGAGTGATCTCCTGGCGGCATCCAGATCCCCCATTTCAATGAGCGCGTTCACATTCCTCATGCCGAGGTCAGACAATCGCTCTCTCCACAACTTCCGCTCTTCGGGATCCATATCTGGCCGCAAAATCTCCCTTCGCGCTTCCAAGCCAACCTCGTAGAGTCCGCCAATGCCCCTACGTGAGTCGCCGAATCCAATGCTCTGGAGTCTAATAGCCAACACTCGTAGGGGCCATGGTACGATGTGACGAGGATAGTTTGGGTGCTTATCAGACGTCCCGGCAATCGGTTCCACATAATAGAAGGCGGAGCTCAGGTCTTCGAGTGCCTTTGACTCTTGCGCTGCGATGATCGTATTTCCTGACAGTTGCAGGCACGCTAGCCGAGTGTAAAACAGAGCAAAGATTCGTTTGATGTCAGTAGGCGAGATCAACGAGGATGTTAAGATCGTCCCACACAAATAAGCAGCGAGCAGAAAGTGACCTTCAGCCAGAAGCCGCTCAAGGGTGGCTAGGCTTGTGGACAGCGATTCATCTGACGTTGGGGCAAGGAACTCAGAGCGAAGCGCGTGCGGTATTTCTACCTGAGACAGCGAATGATACACATCATACCGGAGCAGGTACGAGAGATCTTTCTCCACTGTTGGTGGCAGTTCATCCGGTCCCAATGGATCCAGTCTGCTAAACGAAGCGCCGGTAAATCCAGCAAAGTCTGCTGTAGCCGGCCTTGGGGATGCGGCTGTGTTCACTGTTTCGGAGCCGAGCGGGCTGTAATTGTTAGTATGGGCCTAACTAATCAAGCAGATTCGCTGCTCACTCATCTGGCTGATCTAGAGGACCCTTCGTTGTGCTACGCGGCCTTGAAGCTAGGACGAATCAGCCTTATATTCTCTAGATTGCCGATGATACAACAAGCATCAAACATTAATGCTCCTTACATCTAGAGACATTGCGGGCGTGTTTAGTTGGCGAAGCCTCCATAGCTGTATCAATGGAGAAAGCAACAATTATTGATAGTCAGCCTAGTCGAAATGTTCTTGAGGCTTGTACTCAGTTCCCGCGGTGGAAAGCCTTCTGTTGCAGATTGGCGAGCTCTTTATCTAGGAACCGGGGAAAGTTGCTGGCAACATAATAATGCGGGATCCCCGACCTCAAAAGGCGGAAGAGGCCATTCTGCCGCGCGGTGAAGGGATCGGCCCGGACAGACAAACTGGCCCCATTCAAACCGTCAATCGCGTCTACTCCCGGCTGGTAATCTTAAGTAGTAGCCACACGATCAACCGACCATACTTTCCACTACCTCTATATAAGGCTACCGTCAGCATCGCACTATCGTTGCTCTATACACCCTGACTTGAACCGTTCTCTGCACCATCAAATACCCGCATCTTCGTTCGGCACTATGACTCTCGCCGAGGAGCTCCGCTCGAGAAACTTCAGTACGGACCTGCCTTGTTTACCATGACTTATTCTTTGACATACGAAGCAAGGGATAACTAACAACTTATCACATAGGCATCTATGGACAATGGTTTGTAACGCTTTTCTCTATTTTCTTTCTCGCCCGCCGCTGCCCAACTGTGCGCCTCTACAACATTTGCGAAAACGAATGATGGTTGCCTGAATCTCTTGAGCACAGCGCTTGGCGCTGTCTTGAAAGGACCTGCTTCAGTTGCCGCCTTGGACCACCATACACTTTGAATGTTCGCGCATAGGATTTGGGCGACTGCGACAAGATTGAAGCTATAAACATGGCGTTTAAAGGCAGTTTTGCTAATCGATGTCTGACGTAGGACGGGCGTGATCTGCATCGTCTTGTGCTTGGCTCTCGGTATCGCCAACATCTTCTCGTTCGACGTCGTGATTATCATCTTTAGTGTTCTGTGCCTGTGAGCTTTTCCTTTCCTATTCTTACACTGGTTTAGAAGCTTACAATGCACAGCATCTCTGGTTTGATCCTCATCTTCGCCGAAGTGCCCTTCCTCCTCAGAATATGCCCCACATCACCAAAATTCGATGCATTTATCCGACGCTTCACCACAAACTGGATGCGCGCTGCAATGTATACTGTGATGAGTGTTGTGCAATGGCTCAGTCTTATCAAGTCCGCTACCAGTTTGATTGCGGCTGCCGTTTTCCTACTCATCGCCGGTTTGTTCTATGCGCTGGCGGGTCTCAAGAGCCAGGAATTCGTCGGCAGCAAGACTTTGGGCGGCCAAGGTCTTGCGCAGATGATCGTCTAAGACTGGTCTGAAACGTGATCTATGAAGCTAAGGTACGCCTTTCGCCTGTCATGCAGCTATTGTATATGTCGTCTTCAACATTCGTGCACTGCGCTCGAAAAGAGCCACATGTTGTTTTCATGCTAATCGATTCTGCTGCAGGTGACTGACATGGAATGGAAAAAGAGACGGCTAAAGAACCATCTCTGGGCTGAATGCGCCACGATTATGAATCGATTGTGCTGTTCTTGACGCTGCCGAGCAGGGTCTTGTACTCGTATAGCATACTGTTTTGAGAAATTGGGATTCCTACGGCTCGGGCTACTGAAGTTTCTGCTCATGTGCCTTTATTGATTTTCTTCTTTGTGTCGTATTTGCAGTCCTGTTTTTGCTCTTGAGACTTGCTCAAAAACTGTTACAATGAGTTTTAGATGAATCATGTAATATTTACCATCTCGCCCCAGCGAATACCCGATTAGCATCCTAGCGATGAATGAATGGATTTGTTTGCATAGAATATGCTGTAGGGGCTGAGAGTTAAAGATAAGCTTGTTCCAACGCGGGGAACAATTAAGGAACGAATGTTAAATGAAGTGATCTCCTATACTACTGTAAACTAGTTACATTTACATGCAGGGATCCAGTTGTGCCCGAATGGTCGTGCATAGCTGACTCAGCACTGAAGTTATCCCCAGATAAGATAAGCACAACTCATTCAAGCGAAAACCCTCAAAATTCGACTCCGCCGAAACAATCGAAATCCCACACGCCGACGCCGAACCGCTACGCCAGACGACGTGCCCCCTCTCCTCCCCACCCATCCCCCCCGACCGTTTGCCGGACAATTTCCTACTCGTCGACAGACGTACTTCTATCGCAAAATGTCCTACGAAGAGCGCGCCAACGCGCACCCCAACCTGGGCGACGAGTCCGATGTGGAGGAGGAAGCGCTTGTCAACGACTACCGCGAGCAGGTCAACTTCGACGATGGCATGAGTGAGTTGGACAGAACGACATCCCTTGGAGGTGGTTCCCAGACGCAGGACCTCCAGGCACAGCTCGCTGCTGCTGCCACCCCGCTCGAGTACCAGGCTACTCTCGAGACCAAGTTCGCAAGCTACGACAACTACTGCAGCCTTTTCCACTACATCCTGAACTCTGAGGGTCCGGTTGAGCTCGAGGTTCCTTCTGTATGTACTCCTCCATCTGTCAGGTGCGACGGGCTGCGGCTGCGGCTGCAGCTGTATTTGATACATGCTTCGCTGCCTTGACTTGCAATTGTGTGCGGTTGAATCACCGCGGTTGATACACTGTGCTAACTAGCCCATCTTATTGTCAACAGTACTACTGGGCCTGGGATGTCATCGACGAGTTCATCTACCAGTTCGAATCCTTCTGCCGCTACCGCAACCGCGTCGCTCGCAGCGGCTCCAACGAGGAGGAGGCCCAGCTTCTCCGTGAGAACCCGAACACGTGGGGTTGCTACTCCGTGCTGAACGTCCTCTACTCCCTCATCCAAAGGTCCCAGATCAACGAGCAATTGGCTGCCATCAAGCGTGGTGAGGACCCCTTGGCGTTTGCCGGAGAGTATGGCTCCCGCCCTCTGTACAAGATGCTGGGATACTTCTCCATCATTGGACTCCTGCGTGTCCACTGTCTGTTGGGTGACTTCAGCCTTGCCCTCAAGACCCTCGACGACATCGAGATGAACAAGAAGGCCATGTTCGCCCGTGTCATGGCGGCCCACTTCACCACCTACTACTATGTCGGTTTCTCCTACATGATGATGCGTCGCTATGCCGATGCCATCCGCATGTTCAGCCACATCCTGGTCTACGTTTCCCGGACCAAGAACTTCCAGAAGGGTGGCAACAGCTACGATGCCATCGCCAAGAAGAACGACCAGATGTACGCTCTCATCGCCATCTGTGTCGCTCTCCACCCCACTCGCCTGGATGACACCATCCACTCCGCCCTGCGCGAGAAGTACGGGGAGCAGCTCAACCGCCTGCAGCATGGTGGCCCCGAGGCCCTTCCTCTGTTCGAGGAGCTCTTCCGTTCGGCCTGCCCCAAGTTCATCAGCCCCACTCCCCCCGACTTCGAGAACCCGGCCCTCAACGTCGACCCTGTTGACCACCACACCGCCATCTTCATGGATGAGGTTAAGAACACCCTGTACAACCCTACCATCCGCTCCTACCTGAAGCTCTACACCACCATGGACCTGAAGAAGCTGGCTGGCTTCCTGGAGGTCGAGCCCGAGAAGCTCCGCTCTTGGCTCCTCATCAACAAGCAGCGCAGCCGTCAGGTGCGCTGGGTAGAGGGCGGCCTTCTGGAGGGCGAGCCGGTCAACGCCAACGACCTCGACTACGCTCTGGAGAACGACCTCATCCACGTCAGCGAGACCAAGGCCGGACGCCGTCTCGTGGACTGGTACCTCAGGAACCTTGCTCGTGTCTACTAAGTCCGAGTACGCTACAGCGACCCCTTCCAGTGCCAAAACGCATATCCCCACGTCATTTGACTTGAGACATGCGTCCGGTCTGTAACTAGACTCCACGAAGGGGTACTCAATCTCAGCAAGGAACCACGAGAGACACACTGAAGTGCAAACAGAAAGAAGGGGATGTGTGGTCCAGGAGATATCATCAGCTAGGAAGGGGATCGTTTGGGCTATCAAGTCCAAGTCGTGCTTTTTCGAACGGGTCATCAATTACCATCTCACCTTTTGTGGGCCCGTTCACTTACTCACGTCTTCCCCATCCCACCAACATCATGATTCTTTTTTTTTTATCTTATCTATTTATTTATTCTGTCCTCCGCTTCCCATATCTTGCTTCGATTGTCCATGCTTCTCATTACTCAGGGGGTTGGTCGCACAACCCTTTGACCATCCTGGTTATACGGGGTTGGAGTCGACAAAAAGAATTCTTCTTTTCCTTTTTTGTTTTTCATTTGAGGAAATGTTCCAAGGCGTATCCCATTATGCTTGTGTTTGGTTTTGCTTCCGGTTCGACACGGTCTGGTCTGTGTGCATCGAGCTGTTTGTGTCTTAGCTAGCAGAGGACAGACAGGGATGTAGAATCCGCATGATGAAATAGATGATGACTTAAGCAAATATTCTCCATTCAATCTCTAAGTAGATAGATAGAAAGAAGCAGCTGGGGGTATAGCATTACTCTATCTCATATTCTAGTATGATACACATATACAGTTAGGTTGGTTGGGTCCAGGAATAATAGACCTATCTAGCTAGGTCCTCATTCAATCCTGAACATCAAAACTAGTCCCGCACCCACAGTTACTCGTTGCGCGCGGATTGTCCACAATCTTAAACTGACTTCCAATCAACTCCATCGTATAATCCACCGTACTGCCCGAAAGAAGCTCCAGCGATGGCTCATCCATGACTACTTTAGCTTCTCCGGTACCTGCTACCTCTGCATCTCCCTCCTCAGGCTCGGCTGCGAAAACAGTGTCTTCCTCCGCGTCGATCTTGGATGCGGCCTCCAGGGACATCAGGTATTGGAATCCATGGCATCCACCGCTTGTGACGGTGATGCGGAGATGGTGGTAGGGGTTTTCTTCCTTGGTGATGGAGGGGGATGAGGAAGGGTCTGTGATTTCGCGGAGACGCTGTTGGAGATATGTTAGTTCACGATGTAACTGGATTACTCTAGCGACTTGAAGAGCCAGAAAGAAAAGGAAATGTTGTTATCCCTCCTCTGCGAGAGAGAATGGGAAAAATGCAAAAAAACATACAACAGAAGGGATTCGCTGGTGGTCACCCACCCAACTACTAACCTCCCGGCGTGTGGCTTAAGTACGGCTGAGCGGACGGGAAGCCCTGTTTTCCACACCCTGTGGTCGTATGTACTTGTTTCATACTTGAGAGGGCTCATATCGTGGCTAACAGTAGGCTAGCTCCGTTGATCCGGCGCATTTGCTTCCAATGTGCTTGCATCTCCGTTTCAACCTCCGAACGCAACTCAAGCCGTACCATCGCCACATTTTCGCAATGCTCTTTCGGAAGAGGTATAGTATATGCAAGCAGGGACAGAAAGGAAATATTGTTTCAACGTACCTCGGCGGCCCTCGGCGAGATACTAATCAACAAGTCCTTTCCCTCTTCGTCAACTCTCGGGTTTTGTAGCACCTTGGTAGCTGATCGGATACTCGTGGTGGAAAAGGAAGAGCGTTGTCCGAAAGCGTCAAAGCGGAATAGTGATCGCGGTGAGGATGTGCTCGCCCGGGGGCAAAGGAATCTAGGCCGGAGCGTGGATCGTTGGGAAACGGTATCGCAGAAAGATGCGGAGAAGCTCAATGTCGGCAACGTTGCCGGGGAAAGTGCAGAAACCGCGGTGCGAGGCGAATGAGAGCGGGAGAGCCGGCGGGCAGCTGTTGAGAGGATCGGACGGGACATATTTGTTGTCATAGAGGGTAGATTAGGTGTTAGGAAAGGCGAGTGAAGGAGGACTTTTGTTGAGGGAGAAAGAAGACTGGATTGATAATATGATCGGAGGCTCGGAGCAGCCATCGAAAAGAAGGTACTATTATTGCCGTTAGTCAGAGGGTTCGGGATGACGCCATTGGTCGATCGGGGACCGGCAAGAAGTGGCAGAATTGAGATAATCGCGGGGAACTTCATTGGCTTTGCTTGACATTTCCATGACTGTAGCTTCTTCTCCTTCTTCGCTGATGGTGTCTATGATTGTATAGTAGACGAGGATTTTGGATATATTCATACTATTTCTCTTTGACAGTACATAGTACTTCCGCCATACCAAGGGAGCATCTTAACCATGAGTTCTAAACATGCACATGAATCGAGCGTCAGCTCCCCGCTTTCCTACAAGACTGATAGCAATGCCTTCACCAAGGAATATGCAGAGTCTCTCGATGCACAAGATCCTTTGCGCGAATTCAGAAAGGAATTTATTATCCCTTCTAAAGTTGACTTGAAAAGGAAGACTTTGGCAATTGACAATAGCTGTACGTATCGTAGCGCTGCTATATTGTCTCAATTTCACTAATCAATTGCCCTCTCATCTAGCCACTGATGAGTCTGATCCCCGGTGTATATATCTCTGTGGAAACTCATTGGGAGTTCAACCTCGTATTGCCCGCAAGTACATTGACTACTATCTACGGACATGGGCTATCAAAGGCGTAACTGGACATTTTCTTCCGCACGAGGACCAATTGCTCCCACCATTTGTTGACGTCGATGACGCCGGCGCGAAGCTCATGGCGCCAATTGTGGGAGCCCTGGAGAGTGAAGTGGCAGTGATGGGCACACTGACGGCGAACCTACACTTCTTGATGGCGAGCTTCTACCGCCCGACCCAGGAGAGGTATAAAATTATCTTGGAAGGGAAGGCTTTCCCGAGTGACCATGTGGGTTTGAACCTAATAATCATTTGAGAAGCAGTTACTTAACCCATTGAGTATAGTACGCCATCGAGTCACAGATTCGCCACCACAATCTTCGCCCAGAGGATGCCATGGTCCTCAT